TATTAAATACTTTGTTCTTTACACAGTTGAATATGCTGACAACAAAATCACAAAAAAAATTTCAATGGACATCATATTTAGCAACCCATGGAGGTCTGGATTTGGAGTCACACTCAGTATGAAAGTGGAAAAACACACTACAGGCTGATGCAACTTTAATGTAATGTCCTTAAAACAAGTCCAAATGAGGCTCAATAGTGTGTGTGGCCTCCACTTGCCTGTATGACCTCCCTACATCGCCTGGGCATGCTCCTGATGAGCTGGCAGATGGTCTCCTGAGGAATTCCCCAGACCTGGGCTAAAGTTCCCGCCAACTCATGGACAGTCTGTGGAGCAACGTCGCGTTGGTGGATGGAGCAAGACATGTCCCAGAGTGCTCAATTGGATTCAGGTCTGGAATGGGCAGGCCAGTCCATAGCACCAATGCCTTTTTCTTGCAGGAACTGCTGACACACTCCAGCCACATGAGGTCTAGCATTGTCTCACATTAGGAGGAACCCAGGGCCAACCGCACCAGCATATGGTCTCCCAAGGGGTCTGAGGATCTCATCTCTGTACCTAATGGCAGTCAGGCTACTTCTGGCAAGCACATGGAGGGCTGTGCGGCCCTCATGGAGTCTGTTTCTGATTGTTTGAGCAGACACATGCACATTTGTGGCCTGCTGGAAGTAATTTTGCAGGGCTCCTGTCCCTCCTTGCACAAAGGTGGCGGTAGCAGTCCTGCTACTGGGTTGTTGCCCTTCTGCACGTCTCCTGGTAGCGCCTCCATGCTCTGGACACTACACTGACAGACACAGCAGACCTCCTTGCCACAGCTCACACCGATGTGCCATCCTGGATGAGCTGCACTACCTGAGCCACTTGTGGGTTGTAGACTCCGTCTCATGCTACCACTAGAATGAAATCACCTCCAGCATTCAAAAGTGACCAAAACATCAGCCAAAAAAAAAAGCATAGGTACTGAGAAGTGGTCTGTTGTCACCACCTGCAGAACCACTCCTTTGAGGAGGTCTTGCTTATTGCCTTTAATTTCCCACCTGTTGTCTATTGCATTTGAACAACAGCATGTGAAATTGACTGTCAGTGTTGCTTCTTAAGTGGACAGCAGTTCAAGTATGCTGATGGCATTGCCTAGAATTCATATAGCATATTTAAAAAATAAAATTTGACAAGCCTCGTTTATAGTGACTTCTTTTCAATGTACTGGAGTCTTTAGTCAACTCACACCTACAGCTTTCTTAGAATTAGTTGTCCCAATATGCATGCCTTTGGATTTTGCCAGTATGTATTTGAACATTGATCGCTCAGTACATTTTTGAATAACTGAATTAAAAGACACCCATGAATACTTGAAGGCAAGTCATTTATTTATGCAGCTTCGATACAATTGCACAGATCTGAAATGCAAAGAAAAGCACCGACAGCATGGAAGTTAAAAACCTCAGTTGAGCCTGAAGTCACGTGGATGGAGCCATTCTTGAGAGCCGTCTAAGAACACGATGTCTGTACCACCATTTCAAGGAGAGGCTTGCCTTAGTGACTCATTCTAATCTGTGATAGTGAGTGGACCAAGGACTACGTTTTGTACTGCACCATGCGTCCCTGTGGGGGAAAAAAAAACAAAAAACACAGCTTTGAGTCCTGTACAGCAAGACCAGTTATAAAAGTGTGGAAATGTATACCTGTCACTAGATCCCTCATCTTTCTGGCCTTGCAGCTGGACTCACAGCAGTCACACAGACTGCTGTGTGTAGGGTCGTCAAGCAACTCCCAACTGAAGTAGGCAGGAAGAAATAATCACTGAGCTTCTGCCGATTCCAGGACAACTTAGTCATAGCTCAGCATTCAAACCACAACATCCAGTACTACAACCTACAGAGTCAAGTAGGTGTTTTACCCATAATCTTTGTAGTGGCAGGCTTTCTTAGTATTGCCAAGACCGTTGGGATCCCAAGCCACAAGGCCGCAATGAATAAACACCTGCAGGATGTATCGTATTCCACAATTAACCAACAAGCTGCTTCGTTTCCTACATTCAGTTCTTGCAGTTAAAGATATTTACCTCTCCTCCCACAGCAAACCTGAAGGCTTGAAGAGAAAGCCGGATCTCTGAAGTCTTTCGCCTGGGTTCAAATTTAGAGCGCGATTTCTTACTGTCGACAAGACATCTGAGGTTCAAGAGAAACAAATTATTTCAAGGTCTAGTCAACAAGAATACCCAAGTCAGTGCTTCTTGATAGCGCAAGTTTACCCCTTGTTGGTGATTAATGGGTATAGAGAACTTTCAGGCTGCAGCTCAGGTGTGGTGGCAGCTACACATTCATCAATGAGTAGCAGCAATGGCTGATGGGTCTGCTGCTCCACGCTAGCCATGATGGCGATGATTGAGCCCAGAGGGAATTTTGTAGATTCAGCAGGGCCTGAAAAGTCAGCTAAATTTACACAGAACAAGGTGAGTTGCAGGAATGTTTAGGACTGCTTCTATTTTCAGGCACTTTCAGATACCCACCATTCATGAGTCCAATATGAAATACTAGTTCTTCTAAACCATAGGTACTAAACACTGGCTCATAAACCTGGGGGTACCAACCTCTGGGCCTGCATGAAACAGGTTAAAAGGTTGCAATTTTTTTTAAACAGCCATTTGCTTTTTTGTTCAGCATTTCATGTTACAACATGTCCACTTGCCTCTCATATTCACAGACAATCAAGTCAATGTACGAAGGGATGACAGAATTAGGTGGGGTAATGTACGTCAGGTCATTGGAGTAGATTAGTAGTTTGCCAGTAACCTGTGGGGAGGAAAGATGAGTCACCAACCTGTAGGGATGGACGGTTCTTTCATGCACGTAGTTCTGGGCTACTCACAAGCCTCCTGAAGTTACAGTCATTGAAGTCCACAGTGAAAACAGCTTCCCTGTCTGTGAGGCTTGTGGGAAAGCAGCTGCCCAGACGGAGCAGTGAAGTGTCCATCTGAGATCTACCGTCTGTCCACACCAGTGTCACAAAACCACCTTTACAATCCAGTTTCATGTCTAAGTAGAGAGGGAGAGAGCGAAGGGGATAATTTAAAAAAATAATTCTTACCCTTAAATTTTTAAAAAAAGAAGCCATTTCTCATTTAGACATTACCTGCATTTACTGAAACTCCTGCCACCAGGCCCAAAACAGCTACACAATACCAAAGGGAGGCCATGATGACTGAACACTTGGTGCTGGCGCCACTGGTGTTTTTATTATCTTACTGGGGACAGGCTAATCAACAAAACCAGGTTCACCTGCTGTGTGTTAGCAGCAACAAGGTGTTTGCAATAAAGAGTTCAGTTGATTTTGATGTGATGTGAGTCACATGATGCAAATCTTAATATTTGTCCAGTTTAGTCAGTTTTACATCACATTACGATCATGAAAGCAGTAGTACTGTAGTCTGAGAAGGTAACGAGATGTTATATCAGTATGTGGCAATTTCAGATCTAGACAGTCAAATTCAGAAAACAAAACCGGAAAATTTACAGCTGGCTTGTTTCATGTCATCTCACAGAGAGCTTTAGTATTAAACTCAAATAGACAGAGTCAAATGCCAGGGAATTAAAATAAGTTTTAAGTCTAGTTTTAATGTTTGAATGCTGTTTCCACAGTTTGGGAGCAAAAAATGTCTGAGTTTAACTCTAGATTGAGGGACAGTCTGAAACATCTGACTGGCTGATTGGAGGGACCTGGAGCATCACAGGGCTCTAAGAGGTCAGAGATGTAGGAAGGAGTTAAACCATGAA